AGAGAGAGAGAGAGAGAGAGAGAGAGAGAGAGAGAGAGAGAGAGAGAGAGAGAGAGAGAGTCTAAAACGCTATTGATCAAAATCATCCTCTTCAAGGAGCATGACGTTCACCGAACATTACGTGGTGAAGACAACCCAAAGCCTTAGGTCTAGGCCTGCTACTGTCGTGCCTGGCTGCACCTATTGTATTGACCCACGAATGTATAATGCAGGGCCTATCATAATACCCGCAGGCTCCTTCAAGCATCCAAGTCGTCACTTCTTTCGAACGACGCGACGAACTTTTCGAAACGGATACTTGAAATACTTGAATAAGTAGTGAAGGACAGATAACCGCGATACGTTACCTTGCTGTTGAAAGCATGTAATCTCTTTTGTGAATAATCTTATTATACGTGTTCTTTCTTGTTTCTGTTTCAGTCTTTAAACAGCAACAACGACAACAACAACAACAACAACAACAACAACAACAACAACAACAACAACAACAACAACAACATGCCGGCGGTGGCATCTCTTCGGGGAGGATTCAGGGAGGTTGGACTGCCTCACCCACTACCCAAGGGAGGCGGTGGCCCTGGCGAAGAGCACACTCTTCGGGGCTCCGAACATTTCGAACGGATAGGCTACCACACACACACACACACAACAACAACAACAACAACAATTACCTTGCCATAGAAAGCATGTTCTCTCTTTTGTGATAACCTTATTATACGGGTTCTTTCTTGTTTCTGTTTCAGTCTTTAAACAACAACAACAACAACAACAACAACAACAACAAAGCTTATTTTCACTTCTCAGTTTACTTCTCTTTCACTTATTAACTCAGCGTCGAGGACGTTAACGTTAACACACAGAATTCTACACTGAGAAGTGTAGAATTCTGTGCGTTAACATTAAGTGCTTTTCGACTATAGTGTACTTATGACTTCGTCTTTCGAAAGATTTCAGAAAATCTTAAACGGCCCGCCATACACGTACAAATTTTGTCTAATTTTTTTTTGGACCCCAAATTACATGTAATTGACCAATTTGTTTTAATCGAGTATGGCTGATACTGATGTCCTAAGAGTATTGAAGTCAAATTCTGAGTATATCCAACAAAAACAAAAAAATAAAAAAAGATAG